TTTAAAAAAAATGTCGTTGATGAGGTTCTACATTCAAGATAAAAATGATCAATGTTTAAAGTCATCAAGAATAGAATTGAGTATAAATGTTGTTTATTTCTGCTCTTACAATTATTTCGTTTAAAAATAAAACGTCTCATAGAAATTAAAGAGAATATAATGCTGATTATTTCTGATATAGAGTATTTCTCGCATATAACAACGACTCAAAAATGTAATTAAAGTTGAGGTTTATCTGAAATCATTTTTTCCTGAAGGCACAAAAGAGTTTCAAATTTGCTCGTTACGATTATAGCCTATATGAACTTTGAAAAGTCGATTAATATGTGTAAAATTATGTACGTTGTTGAGACACTTTACAGGCCATTCGGCGGATAATATTACTATTAAAAATAAATGTAATGTAATTCGTGAAATAATCGAAAAAATTGTTTCGATTCTCTTAGTTTTGAAAAATTAATACAGCTGGATTAATTTTTCGAGATAAGAATTGACTCCGCTGTGAACTTGTTTTAAAATTAAAATAAAATTACCGTTATATTTAATGTAATGTACAGGGTAGGGCAAAAAAGGACGGAAGGACGTTTTTTAAAAAATCACAACATCTGTAATTGTTACTACAAAAGATATTTGTTGGAAGAAGTGAGTTCGTATTGAAATAGCATTTTACAGAACCAATTGTAGAAAACATGTCCTATTTGGTGTCTGTTATCAGTGATGCATTTCTGGAGGCGATTTTGGCGACTTCCACGCGAATATTGCGGGGACAACATTTACCGTCATTTCAAGTAGGCGATTTCCAAGCGAAGGTTCTTTGCAAGAACCTTCAGTTCTTGCAAATAACGGGCTTACGCTCATATACACGTGCCTTGAGATGTCCCTACAAGAAATAATTGCACATAGATAGGTCAGGCGATCGAGGAGGCCAATTCGAACCTGGAAATGAAACGACCAGGAAAGAGACGACGAATAACGTCAATTAATGTTCTAGCTGTGTGGGCCGTCGCCCCATCCTGTTGAAACCACACACGTCTGATAGGAATACGTTTCCATCGTACGCAAGAATGCGGAAACGTATTCCCATCAGATGTGTATGACTGAACGATCCCCTTTGCGTACGACTGTTTCCTCAGTCGTACGCAAACACACGGTGTTCTATCGTCCACGGCTCCATGCCTTCAACTTAAAAGACAATGCTAAGACCTCACTACTTTCACGCTACCTACCACAAATCTGCCACTCTAACTGGTGGTGAGTTCTGCCCATTTCAAAAACGTTCGTCCTTTCTGCCCCACCCTGTATATGTTTCAAAGTTTCGACCCATTGCAGTTCACGACTTTTCGCAATGAACAAAGCTGAAACATGTCATATTTAAGCTAATACATATAATACGAGTGGATAATATGTGAAATTTTCTCTTCATAAAGTTCTTATTTATCTTTTCTGTCCTGGTTGACTCAACTGAGCCACATTTCTCTGTTTTTGTAATCTATCCATCAATTATTACTGAATTCAAACCAACAACCTATCTTACTTGATATTTTTTAACTGAACTTTTAAGCTATTTCTTTATTTAATGCGTGATATTATATGCATATCTATATCTATATCTATATATATAAATGGACGTGTATGTCCCTATATTTCACTTTTTCGCCAAAACTACACATCGCACGTGAATGGTGTTTGTATATGATAGTAGCCCCAAGTCTCCATTCGTGCATAGGGGTGGTTGCGTCTCGATAGCTATAAGGGTGCGGGAGATATGGGCTTGAAAGTGATTGAAAGTGGCTTTTTATTTCGAATGTTTTGTTCGAATTTAATTCGAACATAAAATTCGAATATTGGTTCGATTATAGAACGATTGTAAACGTTACAGAAACGTTGAAAATAGTTCGTTTGACTTGACGTAAAAATTCTCTAATTAGTCTGGAAACGNTTAAATCATGTAAACAATTAAAAAATAAAAAAACACTCAAAATTTATTTTGAAAAAAATTTTATAGTTACGATTTCCCTCGTTAAAGTTTAGGGAAGTTGAAGAGGCAAATTTGCTTAAATTTTCAGTAATTAGAAATATAAATCAGTGTTTTTCTAAAGTAAATCACATAAAAAAATCAAAAATTCAAAAAAATTTTATAGTTTTAAGTGTAAAAACACTCGAAATTCATCTTTAAGAGTGCATTTTTTATGCGCTCTTTCTATAAACTATGACCAATTTGGGTAAAATTTAGCTAAAATTATCGATAAAAAAACTAAAACTTGTAAAAAATTATTATAAAATAAATAAATGTACAGTTTGAGATTGTAAAAAAAACTGAATTTTTATTTTTAAATCCCTCATAAAGTAAGAATTTACTCAGCTAAACTATGGACAATTTGTGCTTTCTCGAGCATTTAACTTTAAAAAGATATATATATTTTTTTTTAAATTATTTAATAATTAAAAATGTACTATTTATTATTGAAAATTTACTATTTTCTGCTCGCATTTTTTCATTGGAATTGCTCTTTTTTTATTAGTTTACTTGATAGATTTTTATATTGAAGTATTAATGGGCCTCATGGTTGTCAGCAGAAAATTTTACAGGGGCAAAGCTTGATGACAAATAATTACATCAGTAAAGTTTTAATTTTGGGGAGTATTTTTAAGACAGACAAAGGTCCTATAATCTAGGTTGTAAGTATACATCTCAATCACTTTTACGATTATAATTTATGGAATTTTTTACTCAATCTCAGAGGAGGAGAAGTGCACCCGTTTGCCTCTCTGCAGACGTCTATGGTGGAACTATATATATAATGCATGATAAGTGAATAATTTTTGGGGGATTTTTTTAAGATAGACAAATCGTTCCATAGTCTAGGGTGTAAGTATGCATCTCAATAACTTTTACTATTATAATTTGTTAAATTTTTTACTTAATCCCAGAGGAGGGCAAGTGCCCTGTTTGCCTCTTCTGCAGACACCCATGATGGGCTTGCATACGTAATACATGAAAAGTGAATAATTAAAATATTCTCCATATAATCAATATAATTAATATTAAGAAAGATAATTTGAATATTCAATTTCGAATTGTTATTCAACGGTTCGTTGAACAGATCGATAGAAACGAGGTTTTATTAATTACTTCTCTACATTAATTTGATGTTATCCTCTTGTAATAAATCGTTAGAAAGAATTTTAATACATCTCTTACTCGAAATTATTTAGATGATTTTCAATATTTTCAATTTATCATTTTTAAAGAAAAATTCATTTTTAAAAAGTGATCAAAACTTTGCAAGCAAATTTCATTATTATGCTGGTTATTAATAAATTTGTCTAAACATTTTCCTACTTAATTAATAAATTATATAAGTAATTATCTTTTCAATGTTTCGGAGGAATTCTGAATTTTTAACTTTTCTTCGTTACTTTTAATTATTTGCATATTAATTTAAAATTCATTTGAAATTTCGTAAAGGATTCTGGTTTATTTTCAATTTTTACGTTCTTACGTAACCCGTTTAAATTTTGTTTTGAATTTCAATTAAGTGGGAAATGGTAATTAATTACAGATTAACCTCTTGAAATATTGAAAGTATACGAAATTTGTTCGTTGATATAACTTAAATTTACTTTAATTCAGTTAGTTTTTTTGTTGAAACACCTTGAAAAAAGGTATAGTTAATGAAAATGATTTTTTTTTCTTTACATTTTTAACTAAATTACTTAATGAGAATATCATTTTTTTACATGAATTTTTATTAAAAATTGAATAAAAATTATTATTTTTCTCATATTTCTAAATAGAAAGACAGCAAACATAACATAACATAACATAAGCAAAACACAAGCGAAATTATTAAGATACAGTACACGAATAATCAAATGCATATTCAAAACTATCAGTTTTAAATTAATTTTCGCTAAAATATTTATTTCTAAACAAATTAAATATAGCCTATATAAATTTTACGTAGAGTTAATTTAATGTAAGACATAAAAAAATAATTTTATAATCAAGAAAAGTAGTTTGGTTACGTCATTCATCATCCCCCTGCTCATCCATGCTCATCTCTGGACGAGTAGGAGAGGTGAAAAAGGGAAACGGGAAAAGTTTAACATTGCTGTTAAACAATTTTTGCCCTTTTATGTGAGGAATAATAAATATTGAATTCAATTTTAGAAAAGGTACGAGGATAAAAAGTTTAATAATCCCTATGAATTAAACACTATAAAAGAATTTAATCCACTTTCAGGTCTGATATGCAACGACTGCTATAAGATCTGTTTAAAAAATTATACAACCGTGGAGATAAATTACTCACCTTTTTTGTATATATATACGATACAATTAAATCCAAAATGTCCAGTGATTAATATGTTTTATGCATTAACGATTAATGGTTGGGTTAGTTTTGTTCACTGATCTATGAATAATGAATTTAATCAAGTGAATATAGATCCAAAACTTAAATTAGATGACCCATCGAAAACACCATCACGTTTGCAATATATTAAATCACGACATGGATCTCATAGGCCATTAAGTCTTAAATAATATTATTTTTCTAAGTGAAATACAATACCAATATAGGGAAAGGTGGTGCAACATGGGGTCATAGGGTAAGACGGGGATGTCTGTTTATTTCTGGTTAATGTTCTTTTATCTAGCTGTTATTTGGGGAACTAAATGTCTACCTTGAAAGGGATCATGGAGCGAGAGAACGTCCAAATCGCACTCTTTGTTTGGAAGTAAGATATGTTTTTCATATTTTAACAATACTTCATCTAATTTTATGCCTGCTAAAAAGTTTCTACAAAGCAAGTATCATTGTGAACTTTTACATTACCTTTTAGATGAAGATATTATGGTATTCGAAGTAACCTTTAAGACTGTAATTGTTTAGTTTTGAAATGAAGTTTACCTGTGTTTGCAGTCAGTATGAAAAGTGTACGTTGGAGACAAGATGGGGTACCGTCCAACCCCAGGTTGACTATGAATATGGCCTATGAATCCAGAAGTATTTTTGGAGGCAGACTTTATTGCTGAGAGACGACAAACAGGCCCTTTCAGCAAGAGTAGGCCTAACAAGAAAGAAAAGACAAGTGACACAGAATACCTCTATTGTGGAGGGTTATACTCTATATCTACAGAGAGGTGGGCTAAATGTAGCCGTTATGATAAATGGGCACACTGTTCTTGTGTCAATATTGAAGAAAACGACAGTTTAACCATTTTTATTTGTCCTTCTTGTATATAAAAATAATATCCCCATCTTACCCCATGGGTGGGCAAGATGGTGCACTTACTATACTGTAATTTTAAAATATTAAATTTTCTTGTTTTAAAAAACGTTTTTCAAAAATTAAATTTTGTATTATATATTACCACATGTTGTAGTTGCTGAGAATAAAAAAATTATTGTTCTCATCAAAGTGGTTGCCATCTTATGACTTTTCAAACCTTAACGTTCTCTCATCTTGCCCTACCTTCCCCTACGTGTAAAACTACAAATTTAAATGTAACTTAATGTAACCTGCTTGGATTTCAACGAAAGCGTTTATTGGGCTGCGATTTTCAAATTGCACACCTATACATTCCCACTGGGACTCTCTATGAAACTTTCTATATTCGGAATATGGGGAGCGAGTGATATATAATTTAAAAGGAGTGCTATAATAATATTATAGTCATCGCTCCACAAATTTTGCGATGACTAGGGAGAAAAATAAACGACCTTTATATATATAATCAGCACAAAAAACTGTTCAAGAAGTAATTTTCTCAGTTTTTTTGGCCAACATACTGTATATAGTTTAAAGAAACATTACCAGGCGGGCATCCTGGTACGCCCTGGCACGACTACAGCCTCAATGCAGGTATACGCTAAACCAGTGGCGTGCCGGGTAGGGACTAGAGAGATTAGACTAGTCCTCTAAATTTGTTAAAGTACCATCTAAATATTATTTTTAATGTATTTGTATTTGGAACCTTTCACTTGAAAAATGTGTATTTTTTCCGTGTANATTTTCCAAAATTTATCTTGTTTATACTATTTTTTTTTAACTAAAATTAATTATAAATTTTGAAATACTGTATTTTCTTTTCGTTAAACAGGACAACTATAGCCTAATATTCGTAATGCTCTTTCAACATTTTTTTGATTGATTCAAAACTGTTAAAAACTTTAAATTAAAACCTAATTTATTTCAAAAGAATTGAAATATTTTAAATAAAGAGAAATTTAAAACACTTGAACATTTTTTGAGTTTAACGATTAAATAATTACAGGAGTAGTTCAACAAGTTTTTTCTTTTAATTACTTAGCAGAGAATATAAATTCTTTTTCTCACTAGAACAAATGCTTTATACAAATAGCAGTAACTGTTAGAAGCCAAAAATCATGCTCAGTTTCAAAATTGCTGTTAGTATTTTGTTATGTCAACTTCTTATTGTTAGTGAGTATATATATTTTATAACTTTATATTGTTTTGTCAACTTACACGAATATATATTATGCAAATTTTTATTTTTAATTTTTTAGGATTTATTTATTCATTCATATACTTTTAACTAGATTAATATGTTAAATTTTACATTTTTAAATTAAAGAATTAGTTTTAAATAAACGGATTGAAATTATAGCTAGTGTTTAATCAGTGCCAAGTTTCCAAAAATGACTGAAGTTGAAATGGATTTGTTAACGAGAGAATCAATAAGTCAAAGTTAAACTGTGACCCTAATTTTGCTCATAATGAGCAGACTTGATTCACAAGGATTCGCCAGCTTAGAGTGCGGAATACAGAACAATATCCCATCAGAACTAATTCGAAAATAATTCAGACGTTGACAGAATCTCCCACTACAATGGCGAATACTGATCACACTGTCGTTCCTAAAACGATAATTTTAATTTTGATTTTCTACATAAAAAGAAATTTGTAGATTACAGAATTAATAAATTCAGAATTTAAGATACAGTAATTTAATATAATATGCATATTGCTCTTATTTAATTATTGCATTTAATTTTTTGAAATTGCATACTGAATGTAATGATTATATATTTTCATATTCAGTTTTTTTATTTTTAAATTNCTAGAATCGATTAATTTTATGGAAGAAACCTTTCAAACAGCCGTAGTCTGTAAACTGCATACGTTCCGGGCTGTGATTGGCTGGACTCGTAGAAAATGGATTCATAAAAACCGGAACGTATCTACCGTGTTATAGGGGGGTCGACTGTACAGTACTTTGATTGATTATTATTCTTATTAACTAACAAATATTACTTATCAATAGTTAAAAGATAATAGCTTAATTTGCGGAAAGTATAGTACATATTTAAACATTTGCAAATTGAATTATATTTATGATGAATTATATAATTTTATTCTTTACATCAAGTTCTGTAGTCATAACACTTCATGTATCACAGCAGTACGTTATTGTATATAAATATTTTTATAAATTAAATAGATACAAAGCTTAATTTTAAAATATTCTTGATTTTTTCCATTGTTTACTATTTAAATTACTCATTAAATTACATGTAAATTTTTTCAATTTCAGTTTATACAGATCCGACGACATGGCCATGTTTATATAAATTCTGCATGGGAAAGAACCAATCGCCGATTAATATTGATACTGAAATGCTTACAATCAACCCTAAAATGGGATCTTTACAATTTCAAAATTATGATAAAGATCTGGAGAATTTAACAATATCAAATTATGGTTATTCAGGTAACATATAAATTACTTTTTAACTTGAAGAATTGATTAGTTTTGACTGATAAAGATAATACTGATTTTAATATATCAATTCTGCTTCCCATAATATTAAAAATCTGAAATAAATATTTTAGTGGTGATAACTATTCCGACGTCATCAAACGTTACTATAAGTGGAAAAGGTATTGAAGAAATGTATGGCCTTGCTAAAATTTTAATTTTTTTCGGCAAAAATCCTAGTAAGGGATCTGCTCATACAATTAACAGTAAATACTTTAATATGGAGGTAAGATTTTTTTAATTCTTTTTCGAAATTTTATTAACATTTAAAATTATTAAAATGAATCAATTACTTAACCATTTACTGGAAGGAAAACAAATTTATTGAACTTCGTATAAAATTTAAATATGTTTATAAATTATCTATTTATGAAATAATTGTATTAATATACACACTAAAAGAATAAACTAAATATAATGTCGGTTGAATGTTGGTGAATCATTTTACTCGATAAAAATGCAGATTAAAATCAATCTGAATCCTCGTGAATCATGATTATTCATGAATAGTTCGACTAGGAGAATCATCCTTCACCTATGCTGGCAGATTTTGCTGTGAATGACGTTCTAATAATGAGCAAGAATTCAAGCTGATCGTCTTATAGCCACATTGTCCAAAATATAGTAGACTACTGTATATAAAACTGCTATTATAACTGAGGAGTTATAAAATTCATAAATTACAATGACTAAAGTAGTTAAGCAAATTGAAAGACAGCGATAATAGTTAGCGATAATAGAGAATAGATCAATTTTGATGATACTTCTTGATGTAATATTAAAATAATTTACGAAATAAATTAATAACTGCGAAAACTTCAAAATTTGCTACATAATACAAAGATTCTTTATAAGGTCCAGAAATCTCAATTGAAAATATAATTAATACGCTTAATATAAGTAATTTTAAGAAAAGAAATGAAAAAAATATAAACGTACAGAAAAATCACGAGGAAAAGATAAGAAAAACAGGATAAATTGAAATAAAGCATTTTAAATTGAAGGGCTTGTACTTATATTGTACATTCAAAAGTGGACTAATTATTCTCTAATAACATTTGCCAAAGAAATAATATTTAAAAAATTCTGTTTTAGTTATAAATAAATGAACATAAGAGTAGGAAGATAATTAGGGGATCTGTCGAAGAGGAAAGNTAAATGAACTTTTTAATATTCCATTGTCTTGCCAACAACAACTGAAAAAATGGATGTCTAAAACAATTCATATATAATATATATATATATATATATATATTTTAATGAATGGCGCCATAAAAGCAAACTTATTTTTTTAAGTCACAAACAAAATCCACATAACTAAATTGCTGTTTATAAATTATTGTTGAATGAAGGCGATTGCGATTCATTTACTGCAATAAATTTTTTACATATATAAAATCTATTTCGTGATAACTTAGTTAAAAATATAAAAATTATATAAATCATACTGAATTTTACAGTTTTTTTCCGCTATATTTAAATGTAATAAATTATTTCGTTATTTTTTTATTTTTGAATTTTCTTTTGTATTTAGTAGCATTGATACACTAGCAATTGAAATAACTCGAACATTCACTAATTTTTTAAACTTTTTTATATGCAAATAAATTTTATTCAATGTATTAATTTTTTTAGTATTCACTCAAAAAACTGCTATGAACAATTCTAAAAGGAAGTTTATTTTAAAACATTCAAAAAACAGCAGACAACTAATTCAAGAAGTTCGAATTTCTAAATTATTTAACTGTTATATCTATGAAAAACCTTTGACTTTATTTATGTTAATTGATTTTGCTAATTGTATATCTATAAAATATTTCTATATATTTATTATAGAATATATTTCTATATATTTCTATTGGGTTTCTTGTATGAATTTGTATTATATAATACTATAGAAATAATAATGTTTGGTTTCTTGTGAAATGTATTCTGTTTTCTTAAAGTTTAACTATATTTTTAAGCATAACATTGGCAGTTATAAAATTAAAATAGAATAATTAAAGTACACCGTTTGCACAAGGAAAAAATAAGCACATATACAAATAAATTATGTACAGTAAAATATATTGTTACGAGGTATTATAACGTTACATTTATTACTATTAATATAATAAACGTAACGTTTTAAGAATTATTCTAGAGAATTTTATGTGGAAAATAATGATGCTCAAGTTGATTTTTCGTTAAATTATTGAATTTTTTCTTTCTTATAAATTTAAAAACAATAAAAATATTAGGAAAATAATATATAGAAATTTAATCATTACATCAGAAATGATAGAGATATGACGCTAGTTATAAGGAATGAATATTTTGATAGATTTAAAAGATAATATTATAGAATAGTACATTTTAATTTCTTATAATGTTCATTGTTCGATGCTTTGCAAAGTCAGATCGTTTTAATAATTTATAAAATATATGAAAACTAAATTTGGTACATTATCTATTCATTGAGAAAAATCTCTGGATTGAGAGAATAGATATGAATTCTAAGGAATATCAACAGTTATTATTATTATTATTTTAAATCTTCTATTTGAATACGTTGAAGTTTGAATTTTATTGAATAGTAAAATAAAAATTTTGTTTTTCAAGTCAAGCATTCTGTGTTAATTAATAAATAAGAGTTTTGAAATTTTGTAATATAGATATATAACTTATAGTACGATCAATGTTGTTACTAAATTTTGTTATTAACACTATAACTTTCATTTTGATTTTAGATTGTTTTCATTCATCTCAATACTAAATACGAACAATTTACCAACGCGCCAGATGCAATATTAGCATTAAGTATATTAGTAAAGGTAATATTTTCTCCTGTATAACATATTTTTTTTTTACTTTAATTAATAATTTATTTTGGATTATTTTGAATATTTTATTATTTTATAGCTTGCAAAATCAGATAATGAAAATCTGCAACCTATCGTCGACTCTCTTGAAAAAATAAAAAACCCGGATGATTCTACTAAATTAACGTCATTAAAAATAAAAGAACTTTTACCTAATGACACCGACCACTATGTGAAATATAAAGGATCTGCTTTAATACCTGAATGCTACGATGGAACTCATACATGGATTATCCCATATTATACCATTCCTATTAGCAAATATCAGGTAAAAGTATCTTTTATTTTTATAAACTTTAATTAATAAAGATTTATTTTAAAATAATTTTATTGTTTTCTAGCTTAAAAAGTTTATAACGGTTAAAAGATATAAAGAAGGTGAAAAACAACCGAAATTTTTTAACAACTTAGTTCGTCCGGTGCAGCCTTTATTTGATAGAGAAATTCAAAGTACTCTTTTTGTTAAAAATAATCGTCAGAAGGGCTATTCTACTTAATTTTTTCATAGATATAATAAAGTCTAGTTAATATTTTCGAAAGATAAATAAATATCAAATATGTATGCCGTATGCAGATTTGTATAGTAATACAAATCTGCATAACATTTGGCTGTTTTTCATATACCAATTATTATGAATGAAAGTCCTTAAGTTCCTTTTATTTATTGAAAAAGGGGGGAATCTTACTAAAATATTTCATTAAAAATGAATTTCTTATGGGATATTTCATTTGATGTATAATAAATATACAGGTAGAGATGTAACACTATTTACCTGTTATTAAATAGAGCAATAGTCATATGACATAATAAATTATCGTAAGAATAATTTATAATAATTAGTAATAAAATAACTTAAGAAAAAAAATATAAATATTTAAAAACATTAAATTTTATAAACCAAAATGCGATAAGATCTATTTTTAAAAAATTAAATTAAAAAGTTTATAGAATATTAAAAGCCATAAAATGCAATTAACTTAGGCCTTTATGAGAATATAAACCTATTTTTTACAAGTAGGGCTAATTATTATCGGAAGTATATGAATATAACTTTTTATTCTCGTGTCAATGTCTAATTTTAATTTTCATTTTTTTTCCACTTAAAAAATCTAACTATGAATGTTAATTTATTAAATAAGTAACAAAAAACAATTGTTTTTATTTTTAGATTTAAATGGTTTTAGTGCTAATTGAAAGATATACTTGAATTTATTTTTAAATAAAAAAATTATTTTATAAATTTTTTCTACATATTAAAATTAATGATAATTTATGTTTGTTTTACATAAATTATCTAATTAATAGATATATTAACATAATTTGTAATAAGTAACTACTTTTTGAAAACAATATAATTAAAATAAAATATCTTTTAATGTAATATTATTAAATTTATGCAAAATAAATATATAAATTATCATTAATTTTAATTAATATGTGAAAAAAATTTATAAAATCATTTTTTCATCTAAAAATATAATGAAGTATATCTCTCAGTTAGCACTGAAAATCATTTAACGCTTCCAAAATCAGAGGCGACAGTAACTGAGACCGATAATAGTCGCATTTACTATGTTAGTATATACTATATATATATTACAATGTACTGTACAAGGCAGGTTCAATGGAAAACAAGAAAAGTGCTATTAAAAGTCAGGAGGTGAGCAATAGAGTAGTAATTTTCATACATAAAATTTCCAAAATCCGATGTGACAGTAACTGCGTTTGGTAACTAGACACAGTTATTGTAACCTTTTAATGGCACATTTCCAGTTTTAATGGCACATTGAACAATATATTGTAACATAGTTATACACATATTTTCTCCCTAAATTCATAAAAATATACATTAGATTTTCGTGAAATAAATTTTAATGCAAATTACACGATTGAAGTAAATGTTATGTTTTATTAGGGGTTCCGTATTTGGTAATATCAATACAAATCTAACGAAAGTTCATGTTGCTTATCGATTTCTTTCGCATTTATCTTGCAATTTATAATAATACAATATACAAACGAATATTTGTAAAAAAAAACTTTCTTTGATTGAGGTATCACACATTATTTGTGGAGACATTGAGTAAAAGTATGTAGCCTATTATCTCAATCAAACGATATGACTTATATATTATTGAAGAACTTCTTGACTGATAACATGGCTCCATCTGTTAAATAATTACTGAAATAATCTGAAAAAAAATATTGTATTGTACAGGTAACCCCCGTATAACACGTAGTTACGTTCCAAAAATTTGCCGTGTTATGCGAAACCGTGTTATACGAAACAAAGAACTAGTACGAAAAGGAGATCCCAAAAATTAAAAAAACATGCTATTATATTTTCATAATTAAGATAAATATTTTTATTAAAATTTTCTTAACAGATACATATTAATATAAATTAAACAACGTTTTCTTCGTCATCACTAAAAGCACTATTAACCGAGAGCGTTTTCTTTTTGACAAGTTATCCTTATCCTCTGAGCATTTTTCTGCATTATCTTCCGATCCATGCTTTACCTTTTGAGAAAAGTATGTAATTTTAGATTGCTTGCTTCTAGTTAAAAGATCTTTATAAATTCCCTTATATGGTGCTAAGCACTTATGAAGAATAAAGCAAGTATGGAATAAGGAAAAAACATCTGGCAACATCAGAAGCAGAAGCGTCGCGATCTGGCAACATTGAAACAAGTTTCGAGAAGGACCACGTGTATCGACAGAAGGCGAGAAGAGAAAATTTACATACTTAAGTACTAATAGTTCACGAAAATAATAATTTTCGTGAACTATTATTACTTAAGTATGTAAAAATTTATTACATTTCCTGTTGTACGAGGGTTTTACCCAATTCTCGAACCGTGTCAGAGTGAATCCGTGCTATAAAAGTACCGTGTTATACGGGGGATGGTACCAATTCTCGAACCGTGTTAGAGTGAATCCGTGCTATAGAAGTGCCGTGTTATACGGGGGTTACCTGTATTCTCACCATGATGTAACATATAAATAAGAATAGGGGGAAAAGAGATGGATGACAGCAACATTAAATTTTCATAGGTCGTCTCTGTTCCAAATACCGACTTTTCTTGTTTATTAAATAAAATGCTCATTGTTACAAGGAATATTATATGCATATTGAAAGAAATTTTGATAAAATTCTAAGATAAGATTTAATTTAATTCATTTCAGGAGGCCTAAATGGCCTCCTGAAATGAATTAAATTCTGACTCTGAATAGTTCGAAGTTCGAATCAATTTTTCCCATTAGAAATATTGGAAAGCGAATTAATCCATTCCCATGCCCTAAATAATTACCCATTTCGATAAACTTAAAACAGTAAATACACATAATTTAAGGTAAAAAAAATAAAGCAATTAAATAATGTAAGTCGGCGGTTTGACCTTTTTCGACTTGCGTACCTCTTGACAGCCCATTTTATTTCCCATTTTCGCTAAGTTTTATTTCGTATGTTCGTTAAAACAGTGACACCTTGGTCAATTATACGGCGCTGCATAATTACATGTAAAAAAGGTTCTTTTTAAAATCGAAAAACGTTGGAGGAAAGACACAGATAAATATAGTTCAATAAAAATATAATTATATTTTTATTTAAAACTAAGCATCGATGCCGTGACGTTGCGTTGCAGAATCCGAATATTCTACGTCTACATCAAAATTGCCTTTTACATGAAAATGTACTTTAACTATAGTTTTCAATTCGCTGAATCTAATTACATAACTTAGAAGGGATAGTTAGCTCGTATTGTTCATTTATGCTACATGAACTCCTTCCCGTCAGGACCCGAGATACTTGGGCATTGTACGTAGCGATTTTTAGATCTTTAGATTACAGATTTTAGATTTACAGATCTAGATCTTTACATTACATTTAAAAAGATTAGACTCCGAGACCAAATCTGTGTCCCGGAGAAAAGAATATCAAGCATCTTCCTCTAGTAGAATCTCAACGAATTCTTCTCCCACCTTTACATATTAAATTGGGACTAATGAAGAACTTTGTCAAAGCTCTCAACAAAGATGGACCAGCCTTCAAATACCTGCGAAGTAAATTTCTGCGTCTAAGCGATGCCAAAGTAAAAGAAGGTATCTTTATTGGTCCTCAAATTCAAGAAATTCTGAAGGAAAAGAACTTTGATTCAGTTTTACAGGGCTTTCAAAAGGAGGCATGGAAGTCTTTTAGAGGAGTCGTTCATGGTTTTTTAGGCAACAGGAGATGTGAAAATTATGATGAGCTTGTAAACAATCTTCTACAAAAGTATCAGCAGATGGGTTGCAATATATCCCTTAAAATTCACTTTCTTCACTCTCATCTTGATTTTTTTTCCTGCCAACTGCGGTGAAATAAGTGACGAACATGGCGAACGATTTCACCAAGACATATCGACAATGGAAAAAAAATACCAGAGCCGGTGGGATGCGTCAATGTTAGCGGACTACTGATAGAATTTGAAAAGAGATACCCCTGAAAGTGATTACAAAAGACAAGCGAAAAAGAAGAGAAAGTCTTGATTAAAAAATGTTTTTAATATTTTGGTATTATTTCTTAATTCTCAATTTCATGTAAAAAGTTACAAAAACTAAATAAATTAATGTTTTTTTTTTTAAAATAAATATAGTTGAGGTTCTTTGATATTTTACTTAAATTCATAGTACAGTAATACCCCGAACTTGCGCGATAGGTGGGACTGAGCGGTAACCGCGTAAGTCGAATTCGCGTAAATCGGGGTATAATTTCGCCTATAAATACATACAAATAATTTTTAATTGGGGCCGGAGACTAAAGAAAACAATAATTTAGAAAAAAATGTCTAATAAAATCTTAAATAATACATATGTATAACAAATTAGGCCTATATTATTTTACAATTTTTCACATTTACTTGATTATTACGCCATAATTTTAACATTGTTTCCATCTCAGCGATAATACTGTGACGTTTACGAATGATGCTCGAATTTAAAGATTGAGCATTTTTCACAGCTTCGAGAATTTTTTCTTTGCCTTTTATAATTGTTCTGACCGACAATTCCGGTAGATCAAACTTCTTTGCCAATTCACAAATTTTCATTTTTGTATCGAAGTCTTTAATAATGGGTACGTTCGTAAAGTCAAACGAGTTAAACGCGTTAGTAACGAATCGTTCGAAAAGTCTAACGAAATAGGAATAACGATGACGTCATTCTCGTTTAACTCGTTCGACTTTACGAACATACCCAATGTTAACTTTACATTCCAAAGATAAAGTTTTTCTTTTCTTGTTTGATGCAGAAGAATTAATTCTACTTCGTTTGAATGACATAGTAGAGTCTCTCGAGTCTCCGTAGATATAACAAACACAGAAATAAATAACACAAAATAAATTGTAGCTATGTGTGGATTCCGCGCGACACATCCGAACATGTAAACTGAACAATAGTGTGGGGGGGAGTGAGTAATCAAGGGTTGCGTAGCGCTCAAACAAAAGACGAATCGAC